AGCGCTGTATATCCGTGTCCCTACATCTCACTCACGGCAGGATTCCAGCTTGGATGGCGGCCTGGATGATTCTGTTATAATAGTAGCCGAAGATACTAATGGAACGACTATTTTCGATATTGATGATGAAATGGATCTTGGAGACGGTTTTTCCAAGATCAGCAAGTTTGACCGATGATGTAAGGAAGAAAATAATAACAATCGTAGAATATATGATTTGAAGCTGTATGATTTAAGAAATAAGTTTTGGTTAGCCTTTTTTTTTTTTTTTTGTTAATAATTATTAACTGACAATATTTCCCTAATAGACTTTTACTATAGATCGCGTTTTCACCAAAATCCAGTCTCGGATTTTTTAAATTTAATTATAGAAATTAATTGACACATGTATTCTTAATAAATTGGTCGACGGATGATGCCACGGTTTTACATACTAATACTGTTTACGTTTGTAATTTGGGTGGAGAATAAAAAGTACATAAAGGCGTAGTACCAAAGAAAGTTTCCTTGAATTGGTATTGAGTATTAGCGGGGCGGTTGGTTTCAAGTGTAGTGGCGGCGTTTTGTTCAGTGCAAGCGCGTGTGCGCGCTTCAATGATATCACAAGGTCTGTCCTAATGTCGTCACGATGAATTCATTTCATAAACATGTTGTGCAAACTTCTAACTTCATTTATAATTCATATGTGGATGTTGAGATCGTGATTCCATATGGATTAGCGGATGGGTGTGATTATTTGTTTTGTTGTCCTAACCTTTCTTTTTAGCACGTATTTATACTAGCTCGTGTTGCCACCGCATTTACGTAATCTGAGCTATTAAGATGATCTCGTTTCTGCTCCTGTTAAACATCGTCCTACGATACCACCGTGGAAATCGGGTTTAGCGTTACTATGATTAGACACAAGCTTGTTCTAATTTTGTGATTTTATCTAGCAAATACGCTTGCGTAGGGCTACGGCAAAACGAAATCTATATGGAGAAATACCTATGATTTAGCTGGGTGCATTCCAGTTAAACTCTGTCGTCTGTTTTGTCGTACGTTCCCATGCTGTATATCGCTCTGTGAACGTCTGCTTTGCATAATAAGAAGTCTGAATCGGTTAGAATTTTAATTGGGATATTATGTCCGTAAGGATCATTCAACATGGCAGAAGTTGGCGAGAAATTTCGGCATAAGCGTTGGTCAGTAGTAATCTGCGTACCAAATTCGAATTGTTTTTATTCTGTGTTACGTTAGGCAGCTCAATGGTTTAATATTAATGGAATGTTCGATTGAGGTGTTGGCCCGATTATTCTGCAGGATTAATAAATAAAGCAAACCAAGATGGATGAATTTTATTCAACAACAACAGTAATAGTAACGACGACGATGCGGTAGCAAAATCTACAGTACATCGTTTTCGAATAATTGGAAGTTTGTCAAAAAAAATAAATCTCTACGGTGGTTAACATTTTATAATATAATTTGGTATAACGATTGTTATGTCATCTCTGAGATTATTCTTCATAATGTTCACGTAATTAAATGTAATGTTGTCCTCATTTGTTTAAATAAACAATGTTTCACGGCATTGCTCAGTGGACCATTTGCTTAGTGAAAATATTTAACAAGTATTCTAATTAAAGATAGTGATGCATTATATCTGTCATGTGTATACGAGGGATGCAGCAGAAAAGAAAGTAGATATCTGTCACATCGCTAAATATGTATTTATCTATTGATAGAATTCGCATTTTATTACTTGTCGACAATAATTTTCGTTATCGAGGAATCGACCTATTTCAATAGGAGCACAAAACAAAAGCTACGGCACCTGGTATTCCCACGTTGTCCCCAACCGTAGTACTGACCAGGCCACCAGTGGCTTAACTGCGG